TAGTAGATCTCCTCGTACCACAAGACCTTCATTCCAAGTTCTTCCAACACAGAGACAACAAGCACACTATTGCACCATCTATGCACTTGTGTTTATATTTACAGCTTATTTGGCCTGAAGCCATCTTTAGCACATCAAGGACCATCCCTTTTCATTCAAGTCTTCCTAATGCATATTCTTATTAATTCACTTATTAAGTCCAAATAATGATGACTTGTTTTATTTGTTAAAAGCTAAAAATCCAGCTTTGTCTAAGCAGAGTGGCTCCAGTTATATCACTGACCTCATTTAATCATACTTGCTAAAAGGTGGAAAATCTGACCAAAAGGCTGTGCCTTTCCTAGGAACAGCAATAATGTGGTTGTCTCACTGAAGAGGGAGGACCATGAAGGCCTGGTAACATACCAGAATCAGCTTACATCTTTTGTACAGACACAGAAGTATTTATTTGATGATGACCTTAAAGAAATTACAATAGGTCCCTTCCAACTCAAAATATTCTATGATTCTATGACAGAGCTCACTGTGAAGTGCTGGCACAATGACTTCCAGGGAAGATATTCAGAGCTGTGTCATTCTGCCTGGAGACAACTGGAGTTTTATCAAAATAAGAGCATGTTTGCCCCCTTCCCAGACACATGATACATTAATACAGCTTCACTGATCCTGTTCATAAGTACCATATTTTTCTTAAGCTATGAAAAGACAAATTGTCTCCTGTTAAAGAACTTTCATTGAGTATAAAGTAGTAAAAAGCAAACTGTTTGGTGAATTCAGTCTGACAACGTATTATTAGTTACATTCCAGAGGTTTTATAAGGCTTTGACCTTTGTGATGAAGCCTTGCTCTTCATGAGCAGTCCTTGTTTGACCCATGTGAATAAGCCCATTGACCAGTCAGGACACATTATGCCCAAAGACCTCACGCCATCTCTGATCATTCAGAAGTATCACCAAAAGCTTTATCTTTAATGTTTCTTGCAGTCTTTGGATGATTTGTTATGAATAAAAATATAAAGCATAATTCATATTAGCAGACCTTCAAAACAAAAATCCAATATCTTTCCTAAAATAAACGGATGCATTTCACAATTTCTCCAGTTCTTGTAACTGTGGAAGAAACAAAGATGAACTAACTGAATTACCAATTACCATGCATTTCTGTAAGGGGATTTGACACTCATACATGAAGACAGAAGAAAAAGAACTTAATACCATTTTCTCTTACCATTTAGAAAATGCACATCACAGTATATGCAATTCCTCTGATTTTTAAATAAGCACTGGATCACATTTGATGGTCACTTTAATGTCTTTACTATATTTTTTTTGAATAATAGTTAGCATCTGACCTTGCTTGAGTAATAAGTTTGTGTTTGTGTTCAAAGCAGAAACTGAATATTGAAGCTCTTGTTAATGAATAGTTATTGAAGATCCAGAGAAATTACCTGATTCTTTTCTACCAGGCCATCTTTACCATTCAACCTGTGTCTCTGGAGATTTCTGTCTTCTTCCTCTACCATCTTCATTGCTCTCACCTTTTAAAACTATGCTCCTTGTGCTCCTACTGCCTCCAATAATTTTCCACTTTTTCAGGAGCGTAAAACCTATGTGGGGAAGAAAAACGCAAACAAAAACAAAGCATAAAAGTCAAACCCCAATCAAAACCTTAAGTAAAAACTCAGATCTGCCCTTGACTTTCTTCTTTCTGGCTGCAGTTAGTGTTTAGGTCTAAAGCTAGGCCTGTGTCCACTAGTATAATTTGTTTGGGTAAGAAGCAAATACCATGCACAGATAGAACAAAATCAGCATCTGGTTGTTTTGGCCATGAGTGTCTGCTTAGATCACAGTGTGGGGTCAGAACTGCTCCAATTCCAAAGCTGAGAGCAAGGGACTGACTCTGTGCTGTCACATGTGATGCCACCTGGAGTAACTGCATGCAGTTGTAAAACCCATATGCAACTCAAATCAGGACAAGAAGCAAAACCTACAGCCTGCTTTGTGAATATATCAATAATTAAAAATCAGCTACAAAGCTGAATTGAACTTAATTGTCCTCATCTCCATGTTAGCCAGAAAAATACGCAGCCTGGAAAGCAAGTGTCTTGCATACTTTTCATTTCACTCATAGGGCTTATTCGTGCCAGTAGATATTGAAACCCCACCTCATGGTTTGGAAAAGTAATTTCCATTCCATGAGTTTTGCTTGAAGCTAATGCATGCTATTAGAAAACATCTGAAGTAAAACTTTAACCATTTCACTCAGCCCAGCTGTGAAGTTCAAACTGCTTTTTAAAGTTAATTATCTTGCTCTGACCTGCACATATGCACGTTAAATACAAATAAATCTATATGGCATGCTTATTCATGTCTCAATTTGCTTTTTGTTTTTAAAATTAGCATACTCTTGATTTGCCTAACAGATATACAAGTATGATGGTATCTCACAGATTAAAGTTTTGTGTTTGTCTCTTTGTAGTTCTTTCACTATTTTATAAAATTCAAAGTCCTTGAGGGAGTGTCGGAAATCCCCATAATTTTCTTCAATGTTCTATTTTACCTTTTTATCTCTGATATAGCTAGCACATTTGAAAAAGAAATGCAGATAGCCAGATGACTCCCTGGTATTCATATATACCAAAGTACAGACAAATGCAAGTGACTTGAACTAATGCTGACATTGATTCATGCCTGAGTGCTTTGTTGTCTTTTCCTAAGGATGCCTTATTAGGAACATGTGTTTGTGATCTTAACTACAAAATTTTTCTTCTGAACTTTGAGAAGAAAAAGTAGAACTGTCAAACTTTTTTTTTTTTTTTTTAAGGTTAAAACAAATATTTGAGAAGGATGGTTACAATCACCATAGTTTCCACTGCTGGTTATTTTGTAGTACCACTGTCCTTTGACTGGCATTGTCACCTACTACAATTCTTCTAAAAAATTCTACTGAAAGAGAGGTTATTTCATATCTTTGCTTTGTGGTTTTCTGAGCACTCTCCTCTGAATCAGCCAGCACAGACAACAGCAAGAGAGAATATAGAGTTAGCTGATTCACTCCTGGTGCTTGGTGTGGTGATCTCTAATTGCATTTAGTTGTGGGGATTTTCCAAAGCAGACAAGTGACTTCTCCTCTTGCCAGGTTGCTGCTGTCAGATTTTGGACATTACCACACCTCAAGAGTGCGCAGCATCATGTTCACACCACCCAGCCATTAAATGAACAAGCTCACTGGTGGTTTAGTTTAACAGCTCATTCATTTTGTCATGGTTTCCCTGTATTAAACAGAACTAGAACAAAAACAACAGAGATCTGGAGAGTTTAGTTCACTTGGTGGCATCATCTGGTCTGTCCTCAAAGTGTGATATGAAGTGAGTAAAGCTTTGCAAAATTCTGAACTCCATTCTTTTTGAGAATCAGCTGTAAATCTGATGCTTCACTCGAGCGGAAGAAACATCCCATACATTCAGGTTCTGAGATTATGATGTCTCATAATGCAGTAGTCTCTTGTTGAGGAAAACACTGATGTTTGCCTGGCACAGAAACCTGGGGAAGAAACTTTCTGAATAGTGTGACTCCAGTACATGCAAGTGAGCTTTCACAAAGTGGTTTGTATACTGACTACAAAGACATCCAAGTCATGGACTAAACTTGCTCAGTAAGGGCAGTGTACTGTGGTTACAAAGCACTAGTATTATTAGCTGTTTTAGTTAGTATGGCTAGACTGTAACAGCTGGAAACAAAGCTGTAACTTGAATGTGGGCACTGATTCACTTTGAGTCCTTGTTTACTTGTTAACATATTTCTGCCTGTAGGACAAGCCTCCATAATGGGACAAGGCTCCATAAGTATTCAGAAGTAGTGCTGCAATAGCATTCAGCTGTGCAACCCTCATCTAGATTACTGAACACTTTCCCTTGCAAAAGTGGAAATCTTGATTCAGAAGCATTCATCCCAAATGTCAAACCAAAACAGAATATACTCAAAAAAGAAAGAGAAAAAAAAAAAAAAAAAAAAAAGCCCAAAATATTAAGGAAAACCTTTCCACAGGCCTTGGCTATAAAATAGCCCAGAATCCAAATACAACTGTTTGGAACATCCTAGTGGCTTTTGGAGAGATGCTACAATTTCCATTTTCAAAACATCTTGGTTAAATGTTCAAGTGTCTGCTCCCTGACTGCAAAAACCCCACGGAAATAAATAAATAAACACATAAACCGAACAACAACAAAACCAGAAAGTCTGCAAGAGGTAACATTCAGGACCTCAGGCAAAACCGAGCCGCTCCCTGCCTCCCGAACTGGGGAAAAGAATCAGAAAGACAATGGAAAACTCCCGGTACAATCAGCGGGCTGAGCTACGAATCTAACTACTGCTAGAATGTTTTTTCGCTTGTTTGTTTGCTTTTTTTCTTAGTTCCAAATAGGGGAAATAATTCAGGGGAAAAAAAAAAAAAAAAAAAAAAAAAACAGAGAGAGAGAAAGACACCTCCCTGTCCGGCGCTGGGTATGACCTGGTTTCTTCCTCCCCACAACCCTGCTTCGTTCCCTCTCTTCACAGTGACATCTACCGGCCTGCCCCGAAGGCTGCCCCGCACCGTCCCGCTCGCAGCCCGGGGCCGCTCTCATCCGGCACGGAGCCAGCAGCGCTGCCGTCGGGGTACAGCGGCGGCTCCAGTTCGGCCCGCAGCACCGAGGGGAGGAAACTTTCTCAGCGAGTTTCTTCCCAGCGAGCTCCGCGGCTGCGCGACATACGCGGGTGCGAGCCGGCGGAGAAACTGGAGAGCAACCTGCTGCCACCTTTCTCCTGGGACGAGCCGGGTGCTGCTCCCTCAAAAGGCTTTTATTGCGTCCGGAACCCCCCCCGAGCGATCAGGCTGCGCGCCTACTCTGCGCTGCCGAGGGGAGCTTGGGGCGGGCCGGCGGCTCCACGTTCCGCGGGGTGTGGCCTCGGCATTATTTATGAGCTCCAGCCCCTATTTGCTCAGCTAATGATGCACCGCCGTGCCTTGCCTCTCAGCGCGGCGGCGAGGGCCGGGCAGCGCTGTAACTGGAAACCGGAGCCTTCACCGTCACCGCGCGGCCACTTTCCATTCACTTCTAGGTGCTTCATTGAGGGCTGGGGAGAAGCGCTCCCGGTGCCTTAGGATTATTTTACAAAGGAATTGGGAGTACCTTTGCTACCACGAGGAAGAGAGACTTTTCTTTATGGTTTGTTTTTATTTTATTTTATTCTATTTCTCCTCCTTACCATGAGCTAGGTTTGGAATTAAAACGTTCTGGTAACAGGAGTGGAGCTCATAAACTGATAGAAACCAGATAGAAATCTGTATTACTGGTTCCTTCAATAGCTGGTAAGCATGATTGGAAGTTCTCTTTCTCTGCTGTAATAAATGTGAAATGTGTTTGATATTTGAGTTTCCCTGCCGTTCGCAGATACTTTAAGTAATATTTTCTGGATTAGCATAGCCTGGATTTGAGGTTTTCCTTTTTATTCCTTTCTTTCTTTTCTTCTGGTGAGTGGTTTTCCTTGTGGGATGTCAGGCTAAGAGTGAGGCTGCAGCAGATGACACCTGCACAGCACTTATGGCAAGGCTGCGTAATACTTTCCAAAGCAAAGCTGTATGCTGGGAGCAACCTCTGTGACAGGAAAGCTTCAGCACTTCAGTAGCGGTTTGCTGGTTTGTTTACAGCTTGAGTAAGGTCTAACAGCAGACATGGACAGAAATGGAGTTGCTTTTTGCTTTTTGTTTGTCCAAAAAGATTATTTAAGAGGACTTGAAAAGATTTGAGGTCTGTGTGTTGTCAGCGCAGGTCATGTGCATGGGACGTGCTGAATATAGTATCATGACTTACTGAGATAAATTCAGAGCTGGGATATAAGCCCAAATAGGCTTCAAACCTGCTATGAGTTTGTGCTCAGTTACTAGATGTGTAAATCTCTGAAATGTACCTTACTGCCATTAGGTTACTGACATGTCAGACACCCTGAGATACCTCTGTGGCACTGTATGCATTTACTATTTATGTGTCTAACAGCTGGGTAGGAACCATGCTGCTTACAGCCTCGATCTTACATTTGCCTGTCACTTCTGTGTGAACAGTGAAGATGTGTGATTTGAGCAATGAAATGTAGTAATGTTTCAGTCCTGTAGCTGATTGCGCTGGAGTTGGCAGGAGGTATGAGAGTGGGAAGGAAAGAGTGCTGAAAGGTTTGTTTTTTATTAGTATTATTTCTTACAGTATCATTTAAGAGAAGACAGAAAGTCATATGCTTGTTCCTCTGACTTTTCATCTCTACTGCAAAGAAAGCAAAGTGCTACTACTGTAAAATACTAATCCCACTGCATCTCTTAAATCACATGTTCAGTGTGATTGGCTATTTGTTTTGGCCTGACAAAGCAATCTTATCAGGATTTAATGGCCTCTCTCTCTATTAGAAGAGGGCTAAGTTAAAGGATATCCCATGAGCTGGTTGCAAGGTTTTGAATTTAAAGCCCACAAAGCAGCATTAATGTTGGAGTTCATGCAGCTTGTTTAAGAATTATTCTTGGCAAAAGTCTTCAGCTATCATTTTATTAGTTAACAGACCTTTAGAAATAATTTGGAAGTGGGCCATGATGAATATGTTTCTTCTGTAGACCAGATCTGTATCTGGAAAATTTCTGACACCAGTGTTTGTGTCAATTAGCAGAGTGGTAGCATTACTTGGTCTGAATGCATGTCTCAGTACTCTAGAGCTAACTGGGAAGGGCAGGGTACAGTATGGGCTACAGAGTTGTTCCCTCCTGTATGCTCTCTTCATTCCACACCAACTTACTGTGAAAGTCTAATGCAGAGAGAAGCCTTTAAAAATGAATTACAGTGCATGGATAGGGAATGACAGAGCTGGTAATTGAGATGGAGCTTTTACATCTTAGTGATGTGGATCCAGCCTGAACTGGTGCTGACCTAAAGTCGTTCCTGTCTGATAGATGGTTCCTGCCATGATGGGATGGTTACAGCCAGTTCTTTTAGAAAAGGTTTGAATCACAGAAGAGACTCAGTGAACAAAGATGTAGAAATATTGTCTTCCACTGGAGGGACTGCAGTGCTAGAGCTGAGGTAAAGAAGTGTCAAGTGGTTGCACAGGCAGCAACACTCTTCATTAAAAAAATATGTAGACTTCAAAGGTATCTTCTGGCCTTTGGAGTTGTGCTTTTCAAGGTGGTGCCATTTGCTATAGAACTAAATATATCACCTGATCAGCCAGTAGATAGTGTCCAGTAGAAAGGCTGTTAATGCAAAAAAAAAAAAAAAAAAAAAAAAAAAAAAGCTTATATATAATATATATATTTATAATATACATAATATAATATTATATATACATATAAAGACCAGGCTGAGCTGAAGAAAATCATGGACACCATGATCAAAGTTCTCAGAAGTAAAATAAAATCTGAACATCACAATTTTTGGAGAGATGCAGTTTAGGAACATCATAGATACATAGTATTCAGTTACTAATATTTGGATTTTATGGGTTTAGTCCAAAGTCAACTGGAATTGGTAGGAAAGTGACACTGATTCCAGTGAGCTATGCCCATTGCGAGTCTTCCTGACCTGTGAAATGGTTGCAGATTTGGTTTGGAATGTTTTCTTTTCTCTGAAGAGCTCAGTGTTCTCAACAGCTTCCCCCTATAAAATGAATGTAGATTCAGCAGATGTATATGAGGAGTAGCCCAAGTATCAAGTGTTTACACACTGTCCAACTCAGGGCAATTTTAGTGCTCTGTAAAGGCCTAAGAGAGAAACTAAGTGTCCCAAAAGGAGCTAGACCAAAAAGCAAATGTTGATTAATAGTTTAAAGCATGTTGAAATACTTTTGGTTTCAGTGCTTTTGAGATTAGTGACGTACACATTCAGGATTTCATCTTAGAAGAGGGTATAGAGGGCTATTAGAGCACTCAACTCAAACTCAAAACTCATTTCCAAATGCCTTTGATTTCAAATGTTTAAAAAAAAAAAAAAAAAAAAAAAAATCAAAATCAAATATGATGTTAACTAAGGCAAGAGGTCTAAAAATATCAGCCAGCTTTTTATTCATGAAACTTTATCTCCTGTCCTTGCTTTGCTCTGCCTTGACATTTAGTATAATTATTTTTCCAGCAGGTGGAATTGTCTTTATTTAAATAATCTGAATCTAATGCTGTAGTCTTCTGTAGCCAAAACTAGGGCTCTGCAGGTTTGTTCTAACAGCAGAGAGCTCTTATTGTGCCAGCACAGAGCACAGCTGGAGAATACCATTTTCAGATCTATAAAGAAAAAACAGAAGTGCTCTACCTCCTTCATGTTATCGTATATTATGGCATCAGATGGGAGAGCATTTTAGCACAGATTGTTCTTTAGTGCTGTCTGTGCTCCACAAAACTATGTAACAACATGTAATGCCAGTTTTTTTTCTTTCAGGTTTCATTTCTTGGATATTAAGTTGCAAATCTGAAGAGATGGCATTTCTTGTACTGCACGTGGTGATTGGGATATTTATTTACTTTAGCAGTGTAAAAGGATCTTCCCAGCCTCAAGCAAGGGTGTTTTTAACATTCAATGGTAAGAAAAAAGAAAAACATTCTTATGTTGTGATCGTCATTTTCATCTTCACCTTCAATTAAATAACTAAGTAGTAATTGTGTATTTAGTCTGTGCCCACAATTAGCTATTTTTGGTTTGTGTTGTTGAGGTACTTGTCAATCTAAATTTGATTATCTCCTGAAGTTCATTTCTCCTTATGCATATATCCCTTTTCTTTATTTGAAATAATAATCCCTTTCCTTTATTAGAAGTTATTATGTCTTGGGAACAACTAAAGATTTTATTTCTTTTTTTCTTTTCTTTCTTTTTTTTTTTTTTTTTTTTTTTTTTTAATAGAAAATGTATGTGAGCTACATGACATGTAATAGAAATCATTAAAAAGTTTAGTTACTTTCACTTGGTACCCAGCTGAACATGTTTAAACTCTAAAAATGAAGCTGCTTGAAGGTCGACTAAGATAGCATCACAATTCTTGGAGAGATGCAGTTTATGAGCATCATAGATACATAGTTTTCAGTTACTAATATTTGGGTTTTATGGGTTTAGTCCAAAGTCAACTGGAATTGGTAGGAAAGTGACAGTCTTTGGCAACACAGAGATTTTTGTGCTCTTGATAATATACGTTGGATGTACTTAGATTTCAAATCATGGAATTCTGCATTCTGTGCACAAGTAATTGGAATAATTGAAAAATGTGTATTTACTTCTGAAGTGATGAGCAGCACATTATTAATCTGATTATTTTAATAATACTTTAATAGCAAGGTAGCTTATTCTTCTAGCATTAAGCCCACCTTTAAATGCTGATTTTAGTCATGGTGTGGTACTTAGCCACCACTCAAGAATGTGTGTGTCCTTTGGGCTTCTGTTAAATTTGAGCAGAATTTTGCTTTCTTCAACCCTTTCCATATTCTGGGATTGTCTCTGAGGCATGATGGCTCAATGCTCCCTGCACTGATAGGTTCTACTAGGATGATCTGTATGGTTTGTGAGCATGAGGCTGTCCTGCAGCTGCCATGCCTTGCCATGGGTATAGTCTGCATGCTCTGATCAATCTTTGAAGTACCATTTTGACAATTGCTGTAGTTAGGAAGTAGTTCAAATTGCTATTCACAGCAATGGTTATAACTATGTACTCTTGGGTCAGAGAGGTAATGGAATGAGGCCTGCCAAGTTGGACCTTTTGCAAACTAGAATGCCTTACGGTTGTTCAGTCTATGTAAGTGTAGGGCCCTACGTGTTTGAGCTCAGTAGGTGTTTATAGGCACGGTTCCAGTAAAAACAGTGGTAAAACTGATGTTCCAAGAGGGTGCTGCCAAATGAAGAAGCAGGTGGGAATTTCCTTTCCTTGTGAAAGTAATGGTGATTAAATGTAAATGATACTGATTCTACACAAATCAATCCAGAAGCAAATTTGGACACAATTATGTGCTGCACTTGCAGGCCTGCCACAGTTATATGAAGTAGGCTGGTTCAGAGTTGCATATTCTGTCCACAGTAGCCTTGACAATAATCCAGGTTTCTCCTGATCTCCTGTTGGAGGTAGGAAGCACTCAGGTTTTTCCCATTTAGTCCTGTGAAAGAATTGTAGTGAGGGGAAAGTGGGTTTAGCCTGGACTTAAAGAGATTGGTGTTTCATCCTGAAACACAGTGCTACATGTAGTAGAGGGGAGGAAGAAAAGTTTAGGGATTCAAGAAAAAAATAATGACCAGGTAAATTGAAACCTGAGTTTGAAAGGAGGTTGTTTGTTCTTCCTCTGAAAGGAGCTGTGTGAATTCTGTGTCACAGAGAGGTGCATTGATTACAGATTAATCCTACAGTATCTCATACACGAGTTGCATGGTTTGTTCCATGGCCTTGTTTTTTGAAGCAGTGCTTTGCATGAGTAGAACTGAGAATCTTTTTCAGTGAAAGTAGAAAGTATTAACTAAACATAGTGATACTTGCTGATTTTCTTTAAATGGACATTTAAATTTCCCTAATACTTATATCAGAATTCAGACTTTTTCCTGAAGTGTGTGTGTGTGTGTGTGTGTGTGTGTGTGTGTGTGTATGTCTATAGTGTGTGTATATGTGTGTGTATGTATGTATATGTATATATATATATATATATATATATATATATATATATAATCTTCTATTTTTTGAAAGGGGTCTGTTAAAGACGTAGAAGAAATTACACAGGCATTTTATAATATGTCAAGTAATGTCTGAAATATAAGACTGATCTTTTCATACAGGATGAAAACAATAAGTTTATTTTTAAGCCTGATTTCCAGATGGTAAAGAAGAAATTTTTTTATGTGAAATGAGAGTTTGCAGGTTCTTGTGTACAACAAGATAATGGTCCTACCAGTAGTACTCACTGCTGTTCTATAAATCTTTATTTACAGAGATAGTAAAATAAGAGGAAAAAGGTAAAATGTATTGTTTCTCTAAATGTGATAACATAATTTTTCTCAGTATAAGCTGTTTCCTAGTTTATTTTTTCTAAATCACATAGAAATATCAAGTTATTGGCTGTCTCCATGTCCTGAGAAGTTGTCAGGTTTTTATGGAGAATTGTCACTCTTGTAAAGTGCATCATTTGGAAATAGAACTATAATTAGGGCTCCTTATGTTTTAAATGACATTAGACAATAAAGACAAGTCATTCAAGCTTAAGATACTTACATGATATTTTTCAAGTTCTGAATTGGATTTGGCTTGGTGTCAGTAATTACAATGCTTATGTTTTGGAGATAGAATGTGTACAGGAGGAGAAAATGAGTGACGCTTTTCAAAGCTAACCTGCTCCTTCAGGATCAAGTCAATTGAGCTTATTCACATCATGGCATTTCTCATGGGAAAATCCAGCAAGCATCTTGACCTATTCTGTTGTTCACCAAGAAAGATAAAAATGTGAATCATTTGAATCATGGACTGTTTTTCTCTTTATCATCTACTTCATTAAGAATCAACTGTAATTAAAAAGTAAGCCTGGGTAATACCTCAAGAGCCTGATAATAGGGATTTTGCAATTAACTTCAATGGGTGAAGGACTGCAACCCTAATTTCTATTTTTGAAATCAAAAGCATGGCCTCTTGTCTAATTAAAATGTAGTTCATGACTTAGCTGAGGTCGTTAAATGTGAGTCTGACATGAGTGTGTTACTTATTGCTGTCTGCACTCTGAGTGTCTTGAAAATTCCTGTGTCATGCAGAGCTCCCAGGCCTGATTTCTGTTTGCACTGTGCATAGCCATTCACTCACATAAAAGAAAACGTCATCTTGGAGCTGAGCTGCATGCTTACCACAGGTATATGCAGTTACATCCAGCACCAGACCTATAGAGAATCGGGTGACGGGGTTCTCAATTTGCTTGGAGTGATTTATCATAACTTAATTGGCCTGTTTAACAGTAATGGCTCAGGTCATCAATTTTGTGCTACATCTGAAGAGCTGCTTCAGCTGAAGAAAGGTGGCTCCAGCTTTTTCTGGTTCTTAAACTGCAAAGATGTGAAGTCTGTGGTGCAGCAGCTGCGATAATGTTGGAATTGTTTGTTGTGTTACGTTGAGCATGTGGGAGCTGGGGAACCTGGGATAGGGAGGGACTCAGCAAATGTCCCTACACCATTCCTCCTCCTACTTCTAGCTTCTTGCCTCATAATAGATCTTCCCAATCTGGTTAAATAACCCATCATAATTTTAAAAAACATAGTCTTTCTCCTTATAGCAAATGACTTATCTCTTTATGAACTATCAAGCAACATACCTCTATTTCTCCAATTACATATGTTTCTCCTTGTTGCTACATGTTTCTGAACAGACAACAGGGAGCTGTATCTCTTAGTGATATAGTGGCAAGCCTTTCTCAAGGCTAATGGGAGCATTATCATAATAACAGCAGAGTTATGAGATGCCAGGCTAGTTTCAAACTTTTTTGTTTCAGCTCACATTTACATTTTCAAACTTACTGAAAGCCCAGTGTGAGCTGGGTGTTGCTGCTTTAACATCAGGTTCTGAATCTGTCAAAGTATTTCCACTACTTATTTTTGAAAATATATTCAAGCCCATATTTGAACTTTGAATTTATACAGACACAAAATCAAGTGATAATTTCACAGTTTACTGGGAACATTTCATGCATTCCTACCTAAAGTGTCTGGCCAAGCTGATATTTCTCATGCAGATTCTCCCATTGTTTGCCATGAAAATTCCATAAGAGAAGTGGATCAAGGCTAATTTGCAGACTGTTTTGTTTCTCTTTTTGTCTTAAAATTACTAGAACACCTATAGCACTTTTAAGAAAGTATCAGTCAGCTTCACTAATGACAATTAAAAAGCATAAAATGTCACCAGAGCAACAGCAGCACACATTCAACTGTCAACATATTTAAAAAGATTTAATGCAACCCCTGTGGTTACCCTCAAGGAGAAATAAAGGAACTGAGAACCGTTTTCTTTGAGCTCTTGAGCAACAGCAGTACAACTTGTTTCTAAACAATCCCTCATTGTAATGTTAATGTTACCACAGTTAATAAAAAGTTCATTTATTATTTGGTGGACTTTGTGCTGATGACATTCTAGCAGGCAATGGTTTTTGCTTAAATAGTTGATTGAATATTTGATGGTGTCTGTGGAATAAAAGCTACTTGCAAAATGAAGAAAAGGAGTTGTTCGTTTCTCTTTTAAAGAGAGGAGAAAAAAAAAAAACATTGTTTTATTTTTTGATTTATTTATTTATTTATTTATTTTCCAGAACTTATCTAGAAATATCTTGACTGTATTTTTAGTGGCTAACATTTAGCAAATTCTGGGTGATATTTTCTCAGAAAGTTGTGGCTTTCACAGCTTAATAGATCTCAAATAATGCTGATTTACAAAGAGCTGAGCACTAAACGTGAAAATTCAATTCACTTGTTTAACACTGGGTTTCACACTGGAGATCTAGAAATTTAACTTATTGTTGAATATTGTCAACTAAAAATCTTCTCTTTAGCAGTGAGTATTGTTACACTGGGTATAACTGACAACT